GACCTCCACCGGACCCGGCCTGCGGTCCCACATTTATCCCGATGTGGGCCGGTGAGCGCCGGGCAGCTGTGCGTGCATCATCGACACAGTGCCGTTTGGATGGAGGCTGCTTGTCTCGCTCGGGAGCGCGTTAACACCGTTGGGAGGTGATCGTGCGGGTCTGATTGACAACAAGTTATTTCGCTTACCGTGGTGTCACGTGAGCGTCTGGGCATGTGAAGGAGCGGCGGTGGATTTAAAAAACCTTTATTTAAGGACACCGGCTCTTTATGAGTGGAGGGTGTGTGTGTAGCGGCTGTGAGCTCATCCGAGCTTACAGACTGGCTAAAAACAGGCATTTTGATCTTTGAAAAATCATTTATTCAATTCCTGTGTCATTCATACACACATCCTCCGCAGACCGTCATTTCTTAAAATTTCTCCCCCGTGAGCCCTGCGGTTTGTTTGCTCCGAGCGCCGTCTGCAGGCGATCTCTGGGGAAAACGCTGAAGTGCAGGCTGCCGGACTGAGGAGGGGTGGTCTCTGGCGGGCGGGGCTGGTGGTGGAGCTGGGCGAGACGAAGCTGCTGCTGCCGTGGAGCGTCGAAGTTTCTGCCTCTGCTTTCGACGATCTCTCCAGCGGGCTGGGGGACGGAATGAGCCGCGCGGCTTGATGATGGCGTACAGCTTCCGACGTCTCCTCCGACTGCTTCGAATTCGTCAGCATGGACGTCAAGCTGCTTCCGAACAGCGCGTCCGATGAGATGGGGCCCTCCATCCAGTCTTTGTGCAGCTTTTCCGGCAGCAATGGAGAGTGACGGAGCCAGATGGAACGTTGGATTACCGTCATCCATGCTACAATCCTCGACAGGCAAACCGAGGGAGCGGCACACATGTTGAGGATGGCGTCTGCCGATTACACAGGGAGCTCTTTGTCTCCTCCGGCAGGTCTGAGGCCTCCAGCCTTTTCGACATGCTAAATGCTAGCAGCGCATGTTGTTGCTAACTGCAGCTGCTTGAAAACACGTCGGTGGGCTCGATTGGAGAGCTTTGGTCGCCGTCTGGTTCCTCCGGAGGGACGGGACGCTGCTCCGACCTGGGCAGCTTCGCTCCGGAAGCTTCCGCGAGGCTTGGCTCCAGGGGAGGGAACCGAGGAATAGCGTCAGTTGCCTTACAGAAGGAGTTCTTTGTCTCCAAGGCAGGTCTGCGGCCTTCAGTCCCTTGGACATGCTATATGCTAGCAGCGCACGTTGTTGCTAACTGCGGCTGCCTGGAAAAACACGTCGGTGAAAAATAACCTTTCCGCCGATCATCCGAACTGGCGGGAAAAGGCGAGGGACGTAGAAAAAAGGGGTCCCTTCATGTCAGCCTCCTCCCGGGTTCCGCCGGGCAACCCCTGAGGGCGCTATCGGCCGGGAGCGGTGTGATCGCCGATGCGAAACGAGGTGGGATGGGGTGAGCATTCACTCAGCCCCCCTCCACCTACACTACGCTCCCCAGGAGGGAATGAGCAGCGGGGGCTGCAGCTGAGCACACCTTGCCCCGGAGGAACCATCCGGTTCGCCCCGAGGGTCGGCGATAAGAGGAAAAACACAAGATGGCGTTGTCCAGCGTGTAGTGACCTGTCACTGGGAAATGTTCCCCGACGCTTACCTTGGAATAAGACTGCTGTCATCTTCTCCTCGGGGAGGAGAACTCACCGGACGACCGGAGGTCGACTGCCGGGCCAAGCATCCTTCACCAAGGTTGGTCATATACACAATTTATCTTCTTTGTTCTTCTGACAGTGCTATATTAGCTCGCTGAAGAAAAAATGGGAGCCGATTTCCCGCTCTTAACGTAATTTATACGGACCGGGTGGGGCCCACACAGCAGGTGGGCGTGGACTAATTTTTTTCAGTGCTTATGCTGCGCATAACGGGATAAACCATCAGCGACAGCCTTAAAGGGCGAAGCCTATATGAAATAGAACACTAATATTTCTGTCTGCACCTGACCTGTTTAGAACTACATTGTTGGTATTTTTCTATTCTCTGTTCTTTTTTATATATGGTGTGATTCCTTGTGTTTGTTACTTTGTACTGAAACTCTGGCACAAAAAACCTGTACGCGGTCATCAGTTTCACATCTTATTTAACATCAACAGAAGCAGCAGCAGCTAGCTACATATTTTCCTGTGCAGCTTCAAGCACATCCTGCAGAAATATACATTTTCTGCCTAAACTAACGGTTTGTATAATAGTTTTAAGATTATAAATGTTGGATTTTATCTTAGGACAAGAGAAATTCCCTTTGGTCCTGTCTTTGCTAAAATTAGCCAGCCAGTTCTCTCAGAATTAAACTGTTTCAAAACATTTAAAGAGCTATCCACAATAAGCAAGATATTAACTATTCAGAATATGTGTTATAGCTTTAAACAAGATTTCTGGCAAAAACCAGTGCAAGGTCTTCATTTGTTCATAAAAAAATGGAATAATGGGAATAAAAAAATTAAAAATAAATTGGTACAACTTCTAAAATCACTGTCTGATCAGTTTTTTATCAGGGTTGCTGAGTTCTGCTTCATTATTTATAATGATAATAATGACAATTAATTTGTCTGATAATTTAAAAAAATAATAAAACAGAAATGTTGTTTAAAATGTGTTTGCTTACTTAATTCTTAAAGTAACAAGTAAAATATATTCTTGGACCGATTATCTTGCTGGTGCTGGTGATATACTGTAGTTCTCCTAAATGAGTGGTTTCCACTTCCAGTCCACAGGAGCCACTAGCCTGCAGGTTTTAATGTTTCCCTGCTTCAACACTCTTAAAGGTGAAATCACCTTTCTTCAATTCAATTCATTTATATAACACCAAATCCCAACAGAAGTTGTCTCAGGGCACTGAAACATTCACATACACACAAAAGCCAGTTGATAAAAGTTCTCTATCTAACGAAGCCAGAAGACGATCTGTCTTTTCATGTCAGCTTTCATCAATTGAAAACTACATATCAAGTTGTAAACCTACTGATTTGTTTTATTCACATTATTAGTGTGTTTTTAGTGTGTGCAGCGATTGAAGGTTTTTTTTCTCCATCTCAGAAACGCTGCAGTGAAGCCACATATTTCTGACGGACTACGAAGTCATTAGCTGGTCGGTTGTAGACTTTGCACACTGGCTCTCCCACAAACAATCTCGTGGTTTTGGTGTAGTCCGTTTCACCCAGGGTGAAGTGATGGTAGATGCCAGCCGGCAGCGTGATCAGGTGTCCCTTTTTCATGGCGATTCGGATCTATCTGTCCTCCTTGTCCCAGACATCAAAGTAGGCCTGGCCATCCAGGATGTAGCGAACCTCATCATCCAAGTGTAAATGCTCTTCAAAAAACATCTTCAGCTTATCCTCGTAGTTAGGCAGAGTGTCCTTGTGAATTGTAATAATGTCCATGTAGGAGTAACCTTGTTTTTTGCGGGTCCTCTCCAGCTCTGGGTCTGTTTCATAAACATCAGCTTCCAGCAGAAACTCCTAGCTTCCGCTTGTTTAAGGAAACGGGCTGGTTTGGATTCATCCTGCGTGGCTTCTCGTCAGAACTGTCCATGTACCAGACTTCCAAAACCATCTTAAACACTGCGAACACTTTCTGAGCTCTGAAAAATAATAAACCTCAAAGAAAACTCCCTGAAAAGTCTGTGAGCTTGGGGAAATGTGTGTGGTGGTAGGCTAGGCTAAGACAATCCTTTTCTGCATGATGTCAAGTTCTGCAGAAGCCCACTAATCATCAGTTCACTCACATGAGGTTTAATGAAGCAGAGAAACATTGGAAACACAAGTGTGGAGGCCCCTAAGGACCAGGACTGGACACCACAGATCTAGATAATATTTTTTAGACATATTGTGCTCACATTTAAAAAAAACAAAGTGAAATATTCATGGACAATAGCAACAAAAAACTACAAGAAAGTTTAAAAAAAAAATTTAAATTCTGTGCATTTAATATTACTAAAATGCTGTGACCCACAGTTTAAACATCAGTATATTAATGAACCTACCAGAATACGATCAAATGCAGAGGGCGTCCCTCCTCTCTGCACATGCCCCAAGATGGTCACCCGCGTGTCGAAACCCAAGTTTTGGACGACAAGCTGTTTGGATAAGACCAGCAGAATTTAGCAGCAGATAGCGTCGTTGCTCTAAAGGGAACTTCTACAGAAAAGTGAAATTTGTAGCTCAATAACTGCGAAACAAATCACAGACAAACACAATATAAAAGCTGAAGAGAAGGGGAAACAGCAAAGCACAAGCAAGCCATTCTAATTTTTCAGTCATGTTAGCAGAGCCCACAAAGGATCCAGGCAAGATGTAAACCACTCAAAGAAATACTCAGGCAGGTACTGGTAAAAAAATCTAAATACTGTATGAATTTAAAAAAAACAGTTAGCTGTGACAAACTTTGATAATCCTTCTGAGCAAAATAAAAGTGAGGGTGATAAAAAGGATTGCAGAAGTGTGGAAGCCTCTTACCAAACCAGCAAATGTGCCTGATAGAGCATTTCAGAAACACAGCAACAAAGTGAGAAGCCACATCGGGGCAGAGGTAGAGTCATACAGGAGGCTGGCTACACCAAACTGTACTTACATTCTTAATATAGTCAGTGGTAATGGGCTTGTTGTTACGATCAATCGCCCCTTCAGCTACAATTATGATATTCAGCCTTTTCATCCCTGCGCGGTTCTATGAAAGGAGGGCGTGGTGGAGAGAACATGACAGAAAAACAAGAGTGTGGCTGTGACGTGGACTTTCAGAAGCACAGGGGCCAGATGAGACGACAGCCGAGGAGCCGCCTTCACAATAAAAGCCCCGCTGTTGTTAGCATCAGGCTTATATAATCAACAACGTCCTACTTTCGTTGCTGCTCGTCAGCACATTATCATCACTCGATTAACACTCTGTCAGTACAGTGTAATGGAGAATAATGAGGCTCGTGAGGCTGGTTTCCATCAGCGAGGCTCCGTGCTTCTGGCTTCCCCTTCCTTCCACACTCAGGTACTCACATCTTTGACCAAACTAGAAGTGATAGGCTTCCCGTGCCTGTCAATGGCTCCCTCTGCAACTATGATTATGTTGAGCCTTGTGCCCCTGGAACGTGTCTGAATCATACATCATTGACATGTGTTTAAAGCAGAAACAAACACAGCGACACATCACAACACCATCTCTCTCTCTTTTTCTCATTATATATACATATACACACACACACACGTAGATATACACACATATATATATATATATATATATATAAATTCACATTCTTTAAATTTGAGTTGTTTAGATGAGGACCTGCTAAAACAATGTGGTCTTTAGCAGGTTCTGAAATGATTCAAATCTAACCTCGAGTGAACAAAAATACACAATTAAGCAACAAACAAGAGCCAGGTGGAGGACTTCTGGGATGGTGCTGCAGCTAAACACCTCCAAGTCTGTGGAGATGATGGTGAACATGCCCATACTTAAACCAGTGTCCATCAGTGGAGCTTCAGTTGGACAACAGATTGAACTGGACAGTCTACACTGGGGGGCAGAGCCACCTGTACCTCTTAAATTCAATTCAGTTTATTTATATAGCGCCAAATCACAACAAAGTTGTCTCAGGGCACTTTACAGGAACATTCACAAACATAAAAGCCAATTAGTAAAGTTCTCTATCTAAGGAAGCAGCAGGCAAGTTGAATCTTGGCTTCGTTGCAGTCTCCCATCCTGAGCAAGCACAGAGGCAACAGTGGAAAGGAAAAACTCCCTTTTAAAAGGAAGAAACCTCCAGCAGAACCAGGCTCAGGACAAGCGGCCATCTGCTCTTATGAGGCTGGGGTCCTCCACTGCTACAGGAAGCTGCTGCCAGCAGACATACTACCTGTCACAGCATATCTTCAGCATGAAGAGTACATTCAGCCACAGACTGCTCTACAGATAGAGGAACTCCATTGTCCCCTTGGCCATACGTCCACCACCTAATTGGCAGGAGGAGGCGCTCAGTGATGGGGGGCTTTTTGAAGCTTTGATGATGCGGTTATAGGAATAAGAGGCTCAGTATTGGTTCTTATTTCATAACAGTGTTTCCCCTACCATTAAGCAGGGCGCCCCGCTCTGTCAACAGAACCGAGCGCCCTGCCTACCGACCCCCACTCCTGCCAACGACTGCTGGCATAAATGTAGCGCTATGCTAGTGGAGCTCAATACAGACGTGCTAGCTAAAAAGCTCCAGAGGTAGCACACGGTTTCCCTCATGCTGAGCCGTCTACACCGCTCGAAAACTGTCGATACAAACAATATGCATCACAGATGTGTCTCAATCTCCAAACACACCCCCACCCCGTCTGCTAAAATCCCCAAAGCTAGGAGCGCCCTGCCAAGGCAAGTAAACTAGGGGAAACACTGACAAGCATAGATATGTTCTGATTATATCTATTTATCTCTGGTTTCCAGAGTCTAACATGGTTGTGGAGGAAGTCTGACCCACTCTTCTTTACAGCGTTGCTTCAGATCATTGAGGTTTGCAGGCTCAGCACTCTTAAGGTCCCACCGCAACATTTCACTCAGTCTGAGGTTCTGGACTTTGACTGGACGTTGGAACGTCTCGATTCTTTTCTTTTTGAGCCATTCGATTGTAGATCAGCTGATGTTTGAATCAAAAGTCCTGCTTCATGACCCAGTTTGGTCCGAGCTTCACTTGTCGGACAGATGGACTCTCAGCTGACTCTTAAATCAGACGGTAAGCTCCGCACGACTGTCCTAAATGTTTTCTACTCGTGAATTATCTTTCTTTGTGTAAAATTATGAACTTCAGATGGATTGTAAATGACTCAACTCTTCTCACATTGAAGAACATTAACAGTGATTTCTCTGAGGTCATTGCAGATGTCTTTTCTCCTTGGCATTGTGTTAAGTAACGACATGATGGAATCTGTTGAGTGTTTTGTTCTGTGTACTTCACATTAGATTTAAATACATTTAGAACCTGGTAAAAACAAAATAATTTGTATTATGCCCTGATATAGAAGATCCTAGAAGTACAGGAGGGTGGACTTTCTTTTTTTCCTGTGACTTTCACTTTTTTTTCAAATCAAGTACAATGAACTTTCTCATGGGACAACAACTAGTGTAGAAAAAGTAAATGTATACATGATGAATACTGATATCCTGGGGCTCAGTGGGTTTAAGGAGGGGAATGTGACTGTGTTACCGCTGATAGTTTCTGACACATCTTCTCCTCCCAACCATCCTCTGGAGGCATCTCAGGAATCAACACCCAGTCTGCACCACAAGCCAGAGCGCTCACTAAGGCCAGGTAGCTACAAAAACACACACAGACACAACGCGTTGATGATGAACAGAGGTGATAACAGTCAACACCTCTGCTTTAGCAAATTAAATCTTTGGACGTGCTCCAAAGTCAGTGCATTCTTACCCACAGTGTCTGCCCATGACCTCCAACACAAACGTCCTCTGATGGCTGAGAGAAAAGACAAGTCCAGTTAGAACAGAAGTGGTGTCTTTAACGAGAGAGATGGGGGTCCTTCCTGTCACCTCTGAGCGGTTGTCATAATTGCATCCACCACCTCGATGATCCTGTGCAGAGCAGAATCAGTGCCGATCGTCATGTCTGTTCCACAGAAGTCGTTGTCGATGGAGCCGACCATCCCCACTATGTGCAGGGCTGAGTACCTCTGGACAGCATCAGCTTCGATCAGTCCTGAGGAAAAAAACACAAAAATATTTGCTTTTTTTATACATGCACCTTAATTTCTGGATTATAGAGCGCACCCAAATATAAGCCACATACACTAAATAAAAAATAATAATAAAAAGTTGAACATATATAAGCCATGCTTGTGTATAAGCCACAGTATTCACGTTGAAACACGTGAGGCAGCACACAGCTACTGAGAGATGTGCAGCTCTTGATCAAGAATCAACCACCAGACGTTTTATAGACTTTACCTTACTGTTCAACACACAGACAGAGTGAACCTCACAGGTCTTCATGACACTTCCCTCACTCGTGGTTACTCTACTGAACGTCCTAACACAAACTAACACATAATGAACACAAACTCACACATAATGAACAC